GGGGAGGCGGGGCCGGACGGAGGGGGCGGGGCCGGGGTCGGGCCGAGTCTTTGTTGGGTGAGGAAGGCGGAGGTCGGGCCGCAGCCGGGGTCCTGGTTTGGCCCCAAGCGGGCCTTTTATCTTAGAGCGTGTGGGAAGGCGATATCGTGCAGTGCAGAGGTACACAGATTTCCCTCCAAAACCGTGTCACCCGGGACACTCGGGTGCCTCTTGCCTACGCTTGCTTTTTCCTCGCTGTTTAGACATGCAGCTCCAACCCGCCTCCTCTCCGGGAGATGCACTGTGTTGTGCATGCTGACCTCCGACCTCCTATTTGCTTGTCACTCGTACCTCGCAATGCTCATTGTCAAACCTTCCCGCCTCCCTCGAGGAAGAATAATGAACTTCTCTGGGAGGGTCTTGAAGGTGCCTAGAACTTTGGAGGATTAAACAGAAATGTTGCAGTGCACTTGAATTTCCCACGCATCCGACTTTTGAAATCTTGTTTCTTCTCTTCCAGGCTCTTGTCAGGATGGTGAAGCTGTTCATTGGAAACCTGCCCCGGGAGGCCACAGAGCAAGAGATCCGCTCACTCTTCGAGCAATATGGGAAGGTGCTGGAATGTGACATCATCAAGAACTACGGCTTTGTGCACATAGAGGACAAGACGGCGGCCGAGGATGCCATACGCAACCTGCACCACTACAAGCTGCATGGGGTGAACATCAATGTGGAAGCCAGCAAAAACAAGAGCAAAGCTTCAACCAAGTTACATGTGGGCAACATCAGTCCCACTTGTACCAACCAAGAGCTTCGGGCCAAGTTTGAGGAGTATGGCCCAGTTATCGAATGTGACATCGTGAAAGATTATGCCTTTGTACACATGGAGCGGGCAGAGGATGCAGTCGAAGCCATCAGGGGCCTTGACAACACAGAGTTTCAAGGTGAACTGCTTTGGGGCCTGGGTGGCAGAGCTTAGTGGGGTCTAGCTCAAGACAGGTGCAAGAACAAGACCATGGGGCTGGCAGGATCTTTTTAACTGGAAATGATAGATTATGTCTACTGCTCTTAAGCATAACTTACTCTTGGGGAAGCAGAACACTTCCCTTGTTCATGTTTGCTGACATATTCCTCAACAGCTATGTAGGACCACAAAGTGAGGGTCATTTATTCTCTGGTCTTCATTAATTCAAATGCTGATGAAACTGTTTGCTGGGGAGAGGGGAGGATAAAGGTCTGTGACTTATCTACTTATTTTGTTATGCCTAAGAAGCCTTTGGTTTGAGGGTTTAAATGCTTAGGGTTTATATTCCACTGCCTTAGGTGAGGGGTAGTGAAGAGGAAAAGGTAGAGGAAGCCCTATATTATAAATCTGAGTTGTGAGTCTGGATTTGGGGAAGTGTCTTTTGGGTGAATTTGTTAAGTCTTTGGACTATACAAGCACAACCAAGAAAAAAGTAAATTTTTCTAAAAATTCAAGGTTAAATGGAAATGATAGTCTTACTTCTATGATAAAATTTCAGTTAAGCATCATAGAGTGTATCATTGTTTATATTGATAATAAAGTTATATTTGTTGTCATTAATACCACAAGAGGATATCTGAAAACTCTAGAACTGTGCTAATATGGTAGCCTCTAGCCACATGTGGCTGGTAAGTTTAAATTAATTGAAATTAAATAAAACAAAAAGTTCACTTTTTCAGTTGTCCTGGACACATTTCAAACAATAGTCATATGAGGGTAATGGCTACTGAATCAGCACATGTATAGAATATTTTCACTATCACAGATAGTTCTGTTGAATAGCATTGTACAGCAAGGTTTTTGTAAAAGTATCATGTTGGACTACACATTCACAGCCACTTCTGGTTCTTAAAATAAACACCCTTTTTGCCCTGAGTGCCACTAAAAGAATTGTTAAGTACTTCGAGTTCCTCTGCTAAACCTAGAAAGCAGAATGGAAAGAATAGGAAAAATATAGAAATTGACCAGAAAAAAATGAGAAAGTGTGCAGATAGTGGAGTTTAGTGGTTGAGGACCATCAAGTATATGTGGCTTCAGCCAGTGATGCTTTGGTCTTTAGCTACTCTTAAAAACATAGGGCAAAAGTTGCTGGTATTAATTACCAAGTGGTCAAATGTTTTAACCTCTTTCTGCTTCATTTGCCCTACTTACAAAATAGAGTTAATGATCCCTGTTGTACCATCCCCACAGTATGGTAGTGAGACTAGGATGAGGTAATAGTTGTGAAAATGTTTCCACAGTGAAAGCACTGTATGATGAAAGGTGAGTGCTATTTGCAACCATGAGTGTTTGTATTGAGAGAAAGTTATTTAAAATGTGATAGGATAGTTAAGCTTTTCTTATTTGTTTTTTAAATTTATGTTTGTTTTTCTTTTATTATTTTGGGATGCTGGTGCACTTTACCTTTAAAAGTATTATTGTTTTCATTCAATGGTGGAAGTAGATCATGGATGGAGAATGGGGAAAGAGGGTTCTCTCTTAACAGGTAATAAGCAGAATTTAAAAGAATGTAAATTCAGGTACAGACTCTTCAGAGGTGTTGTAGCAGTAATACTACATGCCCTTACCTTTTAATGTGCAGTTGAATAAAAGGGAAAGGGCAAAAATATGTATAAGGAAAATCAGTTAACTGGAGGAAGATGGCTTAGAATGACTATTTTTTGTTTGTTTTTATTTTTGCAGTGTTGGGGATTGAACCCAGGGCCTTGTGCATGCTGGGCTTGTGCTCTACCACTGAGCTATGCCCCTAGCCCTGAGTGTTTTAATAAAACTGGTGTTATTACTTATGAAGTAGATACCTGAATAATGCAATGGATCCCATAAGACATTTAAAAGTGTTATCATTTCCTTAGAAGCACAGACACTAAACTGAATTAGGAAAGAAAAATCTTTTACTCTGTTTTTATGTTGTGTGCCTTTGCCTTCTGGAGAGTGATCTTTGAGTTACACATTTTACACAAAAAATGCAGACATTTTTGTAACCTTCTATATTTTCCCAAAATGACAAGTTTATTATTGGAAAATAAATCAGTTTTGCAGAAAACACAATGTAGATATCAGTTTGCATAATTTTCTAATAAAAGCCTTTTCAGTCATCTACTAATGAAGATAGTCTCTGGAAAATGCCACTTTGGGCATCTTCTGAACCTTTTTTATGTACTTAATGGTTGCCATTTGGGTTTCTGCATTGTATGATTTCTAAAAGGAAGCAGTAGAAGCTGAATTATCTGTGCCTTTCAGATTTTGTTCTCTCCATAAGCACCAGGGGAACATAGTTGTATTGGAAAGGAAGGTGTTCTCAAATTTATATGTCTTGTTTTTGGATATACTGCTGTATATCAACTACATCTCCAGCCATCTCTGGATCCTGGCACATAATAGGAACTAAAAAATTAGGACCCCATTTTTCCCACCTCAGCATTTTAATATTCTCTTCTGATCCAGCTTTCAAGATAAAATAGTATTATTGCGCTAATTTTGTGAGAAATTTTGGCATATTTCAGTAACTTTGAGGTCTCAGAAAATCTTTTAAACTTCCGGCCTATCTACATGTAGTAGAATAGAGTGGTAGAATTTGTCTTTGCCCTGATTCTGAAAGATAATAGAGAAACACAGTACTTTTTAATTATTACAGGAATTTTAGGGGGTTTAAATTAAAAGCTTGGTTATGACTGTGTTGTAAAGACTATTTTAAAAAAAGCCTATTATCACTTTATTATAGATGTTTTTTAGTTCTAGATTTTTTTTTTTAAACTGGTATCCTTTTCACAACTACACCGATAGATTTTGATTTTGCTACAGATGTTTATACACTTAGGAGTTCCCACCCTCTAAGAAAAACAGAAATGAAGATTGGATTTAGTATCAGAAACATCAAGGTAAAATCACTGGATTTTGTTTCTTTAAAAAACAGACCCAGAATCTATAAAAATAAAATGCAAGTTTAATTGGATTTTTTTCCCCTTACAAATGTTACTTCTAGGTCTCTGGATTGGCTACTTTTTAGATTATCATTGTTACTTTGACTTCAAAATTAGAGCACAGTTTGTGTCTGTCACATAGCATAATGTGTATTTTTGAAAGCCAAGTAATTTATAATTTTATAGAGAATTCTATATTTGATACGTAAGAGAGTGTGTGTGTGAGAGAGTGAGTGTGTATGTGTGTGTGTGTGTTTGTGTAGGGGCAGAAATCTATTTCTTTTGTAAGCATAGGTAACATTGAATAACTTGTAAAAATTAGATGCGAGTATTTAAATCTCTGAAAACTGGGATGGCTCACTAAAATGCTGCTTGCAGAGTTATTGCTGCTTGGTGTCTGCTAATTGAGTCTGGTGATGGTGGATGCTGCCTGTTCATTAGCAGCTGGGGGTCAAAAGCCTGAACATCTTTGTTTCTGCTGAAGAGAGTTCTGGGGCAGAACCAAGTTAGACTAAAGTGATAGGACTGCACTAATGCACACCCCTCTCATGGTTAGTGCATGGTGCTGTTTTGGGTCCCATCCTAAATCAGGTTGTTCCCAAAAAGATAGTGGAAGTACAAAGCTTCCTATTGCACAGCTGTATTCAGACCAAGACTATTAAAAGAGAGCAATATGCTGATGGCAGAGGGGAAACTGTTCTGAGCAGCCCTTAAAAATGACAAGAAACCCATTTTCTTTATTTTTACTGGCCTTATGGCCACAATTTTTTTTTAAGTATTGACTTGATCTCCAGAATCTTAATGCAGTTCAGTACTAAATTACTGCCACTACCACTCCCTTTTCCTGAACTGCTTTTAAAGACTCCAGATGCTTTCATCTATCAGTAAGGGACCTTCAGTTTGGCTGCACACAGCCTTGAGCAAAGGAGCAAAGGTGATTTCTTCTCAAAGCTGTTCCTCAATGCTAGTCATTTCTTAGAAGCATGGATGTGAATTGTTTGAATAGGGGCCCAGAATCCTTTAAGCAAATGCTGTAATTTTCAAACAGAAAATCCCCTATAAAGAATTAAAAGCACTGAACACAGTGACATAAGTCTATAATCCTGGCTTCTCAGGAGGCTAAGGCAAGAGAATTGCAAGCTCAAGGTTAGCCTCAGCAATTTAGCAACGCCTTGTCTCAAAAACTAAAAAGGGCTGGAGATGTAGCTTAGTGGTAGAGCACCCATGGGTTCAGTTCCTAGTACATTAAAATAAAGAAAAGAGGGCTGGGCTTGTGGCTCAGTGGTAGAGCGTTCACCTAGCATGCATGAAGCACTGAGTTCCATCCTCAGCACAACATAAAAATAAAAAATAAAGTTATTGTGTCCACCTACAAAAAAAGATACATATATACATATATATATATATATATATAAAATATATATATATATATATAATTTTTTTTTTAAAGAAAAGAATTGTAAACTAAGTGGCAAGTTGAAATCCTGATTGTTCCATTACATGGGAACACATTATCCCTAAGCAGCTGGTACTGTTTTAAGATCTTCCTAATTCTTATTGAGAGGCCTTGGTCAGAGTTTTCTGCAGTAGACATGGATTAGCCCTTGAGGATAAAAGTGAGGATGAGGTTAAAATGTCTTATTTTCTTAGAAATACAGGGGATGAAGCAGATGATGAGCCAGATATGTGATTTGGCATCCAACATAGCCTTCCCCTGCAGAAACTGCTGAAGGAAACAAGGTGGAAAGAAGACTGCTGTTGGGTTTTGTTGGTGGTGATTGAACCCAGGGCCTTATGCATGCTAATGAGCACATGCTCTTCCCACTGTGAAACAACCTGACCTATTGCTGGGGTGGTCCCCTCCCCACCCCTCCAGCCATACTGGGGATTGAAACCAGGGGTACAATACCCCTGACCTATATCCCTAGCCCTTTTTATTTTTTGAGACAGGTTCTTGCTAAATTACTGCAGCAATTCACTGGGATTACAGCATGTACCACCATGCCTGGCTGTTGCTGTGGCTTCTAAGCTGCAGAAAGTGCTCAGGCCTTATATGGCCTTCAGTAAATCAGGGAGAAAGAACGAAGATGCCTTCCAGATCTAGCATAACTGAGGTTTTGTTGGATGTATCGTTGAAAAGTATTCAGGTTTTAAATCATTATAGTTGATAATAGCCTTTAAGAATTAGAAATTTTTTTACTTTTGTGTTTGGGGGAAAAGGAAAGTTGCAGAGACAGAAGTAGGTAGGAATTTGCTACTGGGGTAAGTAGATAGGACTAACTGGTCTCTGAGGACTAACGTTTTCTGGCTGTCATCTGTATTGAAACTTCAGCTATTTTTTTAGAGGGCATTGCTGAAATAGGGTCACAAGAGTGTGTGTATGTATGTGTCCTATGTTTACTTTCCTTTGGGGGAGGATAAAGAGTGTCAATGAGTTATAATCTTCTTAATCTATTTCTTCAAGGCAAAAGGATGCACGTGCAGTTGTCTACCAGCCGGCTTCGAACTGCCCCCGGGATGGGAGACCAGAGTGGCTGCTATCGGTGTGGGAAAGAGGGACACTGGTCCAAAGAGTGCCCAGTAGATCGTACTGGGCGGGTGGCAGACTTTACTGAGCAATACAATGAACAGTATGGAGCAGTGCGCACACCCTATACCATGGGCTATGGGGAATCCATGTATTACAATGACGCCTATGGAGCACTCGACTACTATAAGCGCTACCGGGTCCGCTCTTATGAAGCGGTGGCGGCGGCGGCTGCTGCTTCTGCATACAACTATGCAGAGCAGACCATGTCTCATCTGCCTCAAGTCCAGAGCTCATCTGTGACCAGTCACCTCAACTCTACTTCTGTTGATCCCTATGACAGACACCTATTGCCGAACTCTGGTGCTGCTGCTACCTCAGCTGCTATGGCTGCTGCTGCCGCCACCTCTTCCTCCTATTATGGAAGGGACAGAAGCCCACTGCGTCGTGCTACAGCTGTGCTCCCCACAGTTGGAGAGGGCTACGGTTATGGGCCAGAAAGTGAGTTGTCTCAGGCTTCAGCAGCTACACGGAATTCTCTGTATGACATGGCCCGGTATGAGCGGGAGCAATATGTGGACCGAGCACGGTACTCAGCCTTTTAAAAACTGGAGGTGAGAGTGGGGTGGGTGTGATTAAGAGATTCCATTTAGTTCCCTTGCAAGAGACCTTCATAGAGAAGGCTAGAGGTACTTGTTTGCTATTAGAACAGAATCCAAAAAGTACTAATTATGTGTTATTCTTTATTATTTCTGTAGCTTAGGCCACAAGTTCACTTGGCCTGTTGAGGTTTTAGCGTGTGACTTCACATACTAAAGGAACAGTTTGTTAGGAATAATATTCCTATAATCAGTTGTAAATCCACTTGAGTTGCAGAAAAACATTTAAGATAACTAATGTTTGGTGACCTGTGTATATTAATATCTAGACAGTAAGAGATATTTCTTTATACAGGAAGGGAACTAAGGCTCCAGAGATTCAGTAATTTGCCCATCATCATTTGGTAAATGAGGTAGGTGAAGCCAAAATTCAAATTCAAGCCTGACTCTTAAAATTCCCACTAACAGTCAGTATGGTATTAAGCTGAAGGGTACAGGTTCAGGACTTAGCAATGAAAATCACAGAGTATTTGCTAATAAGATTGTTTATTGGGTCACTAGCCTTTATCATGGAAGCTCTTCAAGTATGATATCTGCAAGCCAGATAAAGTCCTATAAATGTTAAGTGCCTAATTCTAAGATACTTGTTTGCTGAATGTTTGATGCTCTGCCCCATGTAGTTTTTTCCTTATTCACATCTAGAGCATTGGAGTGCTTAACCCCTATTTTCTTGTAACCTATGATACGTTTCCCATTTCTTTCAGCATTTTGGGTTTTTTGTGTGGGAACACTACTTAAGGAATTAGAAATTGGCAATCTTCTGATGTACATAAAATCCTATAGGTTGTGACTCTGAAAAGTTAATGTTTCCTATTTCTGGAATTGTGTATCAAAGTTGCTAAGTCACTGCAAGTCACTGGGGTAGGAAATATTGAGTATTGAGTTAATCAGAGTGGAAATAGCATCATGACATTATATTTTCATGGTTTTACTTATACTGTGAAATTGGGCATCACTTGAATTTGAGCCCCAGTAGCAAGGTTAAACCGAATTACTACTGAGCTTCCAAGATTTCAAGTTATCCCCTCTTTGGTATAGGTGTAGAAGAAAGAAAAGCTACAGAATTTGCTTTTTGTGAAGTTAGAAGCACTGTGTCATGAACCTGTGATTTTATATCTTATATGACCATGTCAGTAAGACTTGGGATTTCCTGAGACCACTGTGCAGCAGTGTGTGCATGTGTGTGAAGTAGATTAAGCTTAGAAGCTATGGAGTTTGCCATTAATTTTTACAGCTGGATCTACCATGAGTTGAGATGCCTCTGAAGTGAAGTAAGTTGTTCTCAATCTGTCAGATAACTTCTGTTTCTTTTAAGTATGTTTCAAAGTTAATTTTTAAATTAATATATTGTGGTCTTTAAAGGGTATTGATACATCATTTTAAAAGTGAATTTTAACTGAGAACAGTGGTTGTTCAACTAACCTCTTTGTAGTGATGACTTTTAAAGAAACTTACCTTCCAGGTGTGAACCTCAAATGGACTGAATAACCCTGAGTTGGTTGCAGTCCCAGGAGCCTGATGTTAATGAGGCTGCCAGGAGGAAATACTACAGAACTGTTGGGGATCCAAATTCGGGTCTCACTAGCAGAACTGATCCAAGAACGTCACAGCTTTTGAAGTCGATTGGCACAGATCAAGACCAAGATTTGGCCCTTTGTCTGTAATAAGTAGAGGAACTTGGTGTGAGTTAACTTCTTTTTTCCCCCAGCCATTGGTGTCTGGAGTTTCCATCATCAATGGAAGAATTAGAGAATTCTAGCAGAGATTTCTTCTTTCGATTTGGCAAGGGAGATTTGGTCAATTAGAGAAAACACTGGAACTGTGGTTCTAAATCTGTGACAGTGTGACATGTAGTTGTGTTAGAGATTGGTGAATGACCCACTGTTCCTTGAGAACTGTACCTTTTACAAATGTCATTTCTAAAAGTTGTTTATTATGAAAAATTAAAAATGGGTGTGGTTATTTGCGCCTATAGTTCCAGCTACTCAGAAGAAACACTTAATAAGCCCAGGAAAATTCAACCAGAGCAACATAGTGAAATTCCATATCATTTTTTTAAAAGGGGAAAGTAGAACAATTGGCCATATTTGAGATCTCAGTATCTTCTGCTTTTCCCAGATCCAAAAATTAAACTGTTATTTGTGTTGATATATGTTTGCCCTTTGTTGGAGCAATAGTAGCCTTCTGTTAAAGAGGTTATTTTGCCAGGCGCCGTGGCACACACCTGTAATCCCAGCGGCTTGGGAGGCTGAGGCAGGAGGATCACAAGTTCCAAAACAGCCTCAGCAACTTAGCAAGGCTGTAAGCAACTTAGTGAGACCCTGACTCTAAATAAAATATAAAAAGGGGCTGAGGATATTGCTCAGTAGTTAAGCTCCCCTGGGTTTAATCCCTGGAATCAAAAAAATAGTTATATTGTTTAAAAGATGGCTAAGAAAATGAGAAAGTTGAATTTATCATTAACACAGCAGACTTTCACCTAGATTACATCTGTATGTCCTATATAGCTATTAGTATATTCTTTTATAGACCTATTTAATAGAACCCTAGATGATTTTGTGGAATATAAATTTGATCCAATCTGACTTGGTTTTGTTTTGTTCTTTGTTTTTTTTTCCCCCCCTGGAATACAGGACGGGACCAGGGCCCTTGTACTCGGAGCCAAGCTGCTCTCCAGGCATTGTGTAAGCCTCTTGTGTTGTGCTCTCTTTCAGGTAGGATAATTGCGGACTGAACCCTCGGGCTGCGGTCATATATGAGAACTTGCTCCGCGCGGTCCCCTTTGCCGGGATGTTTCCATTGCTTCATGTTTCAGTAAACAGAGGAGTTTGAGACCAACTATGTTTTCTTTCTTAATTTAATTCTTCTAAGTTTACTTTTCTTTCCTCCTGATACTAGTCTTAGTAGCCTTTCACTTTGTTCCTTATATTCTCAGCCTCAGATCATCCCTAGGTAAGGATTATGCTGGCATTCCCTTTTTTCCTGTACAGTGGAACCCCTCTTATCTTGCTTTCCCTAGGATTTGAACCCTTCCTCCCTGCCTACCTACAGCATCTCCCTTTAAAATGACCATGTAGTGGCAAACAGCCTTTTACTCTTCTCTGTTAGCTCTGGACTCTTAACATTGAAGCTAATCTTCTGAAATTGCTAGGACCATTGGGGGTTTTGTTGTTGTTTTTGTTTGTTTGGTGTTTTTTTTTTTGTTTGTTTGTTTGGTTTTTTTTTTTTTTTTTTTGGTCTGACCTGTGATCGTGGTACAGCATTAGCTGAAATTTAGCCTTGTTTTAACTCCACTCCTCCCACTTTTATTTTTATTTTTTTGACAAATAAATATTTCTAACACTGAAGTATCTTTTTGTTTGTATGATTGTTTTTACCACCAGAATCTTCTCATTCTTGTTCAGTGTGCTCAAACTACAAAATTCTAATCAATGAATGTCTCACATGTAGAAGGAAGGAACTAGTGAGTAATATGGCTTCAGAAATAGGTGATAGTGAGAAATAATGCCAGAATATTGAGACACTGATGAATGTGTAAGCTGGTAGTCAGGCCTTTCTCTAAGTAACCAGAATTGCTCTTGATAGTTTAAAGGCTAGAACTTAGATTAGTAGTGATAGAAACCCCACAGGAAACTTTTGAATCAGGAAAAGGCTCAGCCAGAATATCTACAGGAACCTATCAGGTGACTCAATTTGACTTCATAGTTTGCTGGGCTGGTATAATGAACATATATTTGAGAGGCTGAGGCAGGAAAATCAGAAGTTCAAATTGCCAGCCTTAGCAATTTAGCAAAGCCTAAGAAATGTCATGAGATCCTGTCTCAAAAAAATAAAAAGGGATTGGGATGTAGCTTGGTAACGGAGTACCCTTGGGTTCAATTCCCAGTACCACACCAAGAAAAAGGGTGGGAGGTAGGCCAGTTGCAGTGGTACACACCGGTAAACCCAGCTACTTAGGAGGCTGAGGGTGGGGGATTACAAGTTTGCAACCTGGGAAACTTAGCAAGATCTCATTTTAAAATAAAAGGACAAGGGATGTGGCTTAGTGTTAGAGCACTTTTGTCTTGCATGCAAGAGGCGGCCCTGGGTTCAATCCCCTGCAGTAACAAAATGTTTAAAGTGTCATAATACTTAGAGCAGAAAAGCAAATAGTCGTCTATGGCCATACCAAAAAAAAAAGAAAAAAGAAAAAACAAATAGTGTTTTAATATACGGTGATAATATTGTATAGTAAAGCGTGTCTATATTTGAGGCTTTTTTCCTTTTCTTTTTGTTGTTGTTTTTCTGGATTTGGGATTGAACCCAGGGGTGCTTTACCACTGAGCTACATCCCCAGCCCTTTTTACTTTAATTTTGCTAAATTGCTGAGGCTGGCCAAGAACTTGGAATTTTGCCTTAGCCTCCCATATAGCCAGGATTTCAGGTATATGCCACCATGGACAGCCTGGTTTTTTGTTTTCTTAAAAAAAAAAAAAAAAATCATTGTTCTGTCTCCATAAAATGAATTTTAATGATGGATTCAACCATGCTTAAGCTTTATTGTGACATATTACTTCTGGCTACATGTGAAATTTTACCTACATTCCCATATCCTCCCTACCTTGGGATCAAACCAAGGCCTAGAGCATGCTAAGGACACACTTCACCCCTGAGCTACACCCTTCAGCCCTCCCATTTTATGCTTAAAATAGTTCTGACAGGGTTCAGTGAAACAGAAGTTTTCCCTGATTTGGGAGACAAGGGCCTAAGGATGTGGTGAAATAAAGATCCATGCCCACATTTCCAACTAGTGTATTTCACACAGGGCCCAGGTTAGCTTCGATGGGGATACAAGACTGACAGGACTGTCCATGTAACAAAAGAAGGCAAAGATATGCTGGGATTTTCTCATGATTGATGTGCATGATACCAGGCATAGCCAACCACCACAATCTGATGTTAGGTTAGGTTTTGACCAACATGTTTGCCAGATGTGGTGGGTGCATATCTGTAATCCAGTAACTTGGGGCTAAGGCAACAGGATCACAGGTTTCAGGACAGCCTCAGCAACTTAGATCCTATTTGAACATTTTTTTTTTAAAGGGCTGGGGATGTATCTCTGTGGTAAAGCACTCCTGGGTTCAGTCTCCAGTACTGAAAGGAAAAGAGAAGGAAGGTGGGGGAGCGAGGGAAGGAAGAGAGAGAGAATAGCCCTGTATCCCTCAAAGGATTAAGTTTTCAGCCAGTTAAAGAACTCCTGAGGGGCTGGGGTTGTAGCTCAGTGGTAGAGCACTGGCCTCACAAGCGTGAGGTTTAATCCTCAACACCACATAAAAATAAAGATATTTTTAAAAATTTACTGAGGTAGGGACAAATGTATTTATGTCTAAACCACAGTTCTTCCATGAGAAATTGCATGTTGTAGAAATCCTTTTATTCACCAAAACCAAGTTTCTTGTTGTAGACTACACTTGAGAGTTCCATGACTTCTCACACTAAAAGCTCCTAAATTCCTTTATCAACTGTATGAACTCCTACTGTATGCCAGAATCTGGGGATATAGTGATAAATGGAACTGAACATTCCTAATAGGAGAAGCAAACCTTAATTACTTTTTTGGTAAGTACTATGCAGTGAAAACTATTACAGTGATATAGCAAGCCTAAGCAACTTAGCAGGACCCTAAGTTTTTCAAAAAGGTTGAGATATAGCTAAGTGGAGAGCTTGCCAAGCATTCACAAGGCCCTAGGTTCCAGATCCCCAGTACACCAAAAAAACAAATCACAAGGACTGACGTGGGAGTGTGGTCACAACAAAGTGGAGAAGGCAGCACATGTGAAGGCTCCTAAGTAAGATGCCATTAGGATCCAGAAAGGCAGTTCTGTGGCAGGGAAAAACTGTATACAAGAAATCTGAAGAGGTAAGTTTATGGCAAGTCTTTAAGCTCTGTTAAGAAATTTCATTTTTAAGCTTAAAATAACTGGAAGCTTCAGGTTTTAAGCTTAGGAATAACAGGCTGATTCTCAAAAGATTATGCTGGGGGGGCTGGGATTGTGGCTCAGCGGTAGAGCGCTCACATAGTACAACCCCCTGGGTTCGATTCTCAGCACTACACAAAATAAATAAAATAAAGCTATTGTGTCCAACTATAACCATATATATATATCATGCCAGACAATGACACACACCTGTAAACTCAACTGAAGCTGAGGAAAGAGGATTGCAAATCTGAAGCTAACCTGGGCAACTTAGAACTTAATGAGGGCTGGGGATGTGGCTCAAGCGATATCGCGCCTGCCTGGGTTCGATCCTCAGCACCGCATACAAAGATGTTGTGTCTGCCGAAAACTAAAAAACAAATATTAAAATTCTCTCTTAAAAAAAAAGTCTTTGTGTTTAAAAATAAATAAATATAACTTAATGAGAAAATATTAAAAGGGCTAGGAGTGCAGATCAGTGTGGAAATCCCTGTGTTCAATCTCCAGTACTTCCCCCCACCAAAAAAAATCACTGATTGGAAAGAAACAAAAGTGAACAGCATTTGTCTAATGTGTGAGAGGTCTTCTCCCTGAATCAGGAAGTCAGCAGAATTGATTCTTGTTTTTCTGGTACTAGGAATTGGAACTCTGGGGTGCTCTGCCACTTAAGCTACATTCCAACCATTTGCTAACTTGCTATCTTCCTGCCTCAGCCCCCCACATCGATGGGATCACAGGTGTGTGCCACCACACCTGATTTAAAGTTTTACTTTAAAGGAAGAAAAGATACCTTTGTAGACAGGAAATGGACCATTCATGAGGATGTGAGATTCTGGGTACAACCCTGAGGCTGATCAAGTCATAAATAAGAAGACAGGCTGTTTCTCCAACCTAATATTTGCTTAGTACCTGGTATAGGTCAGGGTTTGCTGGAAGGATTTGCAAAAAGCAACGTTGAGTGCTAAGGGGCAGAGGAGATGAGATGGGATCCCTCAGAGATCTTCAGAGACTACTGAGATTGAGTATAGTGGTTAGAAACAGGTCTGGGATTAGAATCTTATCACTACCACTTAAACGAGACCTGACACAGATAATTGTAACAAACAGGATAAAATGGTAATTGTGATGAGAAATCTGAAACAGCTGTTAGAGTTGTGCCTTAAGATTGACTTTTGCCTATAATACCACCAAGTCAGGAGGCTGAGGCAGGAGGATCACGAGTTCAAAAGCAGCCTAAACAATTGTGGGAGGCCCCAAGCAACTCAGTGAGACTTTCTCTCTAAATAAAATATTAAAAATGTGGCTTACAAAAGATGTGGCATAGTAGTTAAGCACCCCTAGGTTCAATCCCTAGTCCTAGTAATGTGCCCCCCACCTCCAAAAAAAAAAAAAAGACTTCTTTGAAAATGTGTGTCTTGGAATAGAACTTATCTGTCCTACATAGACAGTGAATGTTTCTAAGGGATGGATGAAGGCTAAGGGGATGTCCCTGGCCCAGGATAGGGTTTATTTTCCCTTGGACTTCAAGTACTTCTTAGAATATGACCACTGTGCCTGGCCCTTGCTTGGGTGGATGCCCAGAACCCTGCCCTAAGTGGCTGACTACTCAGGAAGAAATTCATGAAGGCTTGGGTTACTGTTCTCCAAAACTGGGCCAGGGACATCCCCTTGGCTTTCATGATCCCTCACAAACATTCACTGCGTATGTAGGACAGATTAGTTCTATTCCAAGACATTTTCAAAAAAATCCCAGGGTTTTGTTTTTTTTTTTTTTTGGAGGGTGGGGGAGGGAGCATATTACCAGGGATTGAACCTAGGGGTGTTTAACCACTATTAACCTGCAGTCCTAAGAGGACCTACCTGTCCACATAGAGGGGAGGTTTCCCAGCTCTTCATATGCTAAGGCCAACAAGGTTACCAGTGTGGTGGCCCTGGATGGTCATTGGAACTGGCATCAGGACAGTGGCTGAGAGAATAGGGAAAGTTGAGTGGCTAGCAAAAGGACTTCCTACATGTGCTATGAGCACAACTGTCTTCCCCAATGTTGAGGCATGGCCAGTATACTTCATTGGCTGTGAATCATACCTGATTGTGTGGACATGAGTTCTGTGAAGTTCAGTTTAGCTGAACTTCCAACCCTGTTTAGCTGAGCGTGCATCCAACACTCTACATGTAACTACCTTAAACTGCACAGCACTGAAAAGGGTAGAGAAATGGATTACTACTTCTGCCAGGCAGCAAAGGCAAGCCAGCATTCTCTGTGTACCTACTCCTTCTCTCAAGACCTTGGGGACAAAGGCAAGAAGCAAGAATCTAAAAGTTCAGAGCCTAGGTGCACTAGCCATGGAGTGAGTGCTGCTAATGGCCCTGGACCTACTCACTGCTGGACT